CAGGTGTTCTAACAATTATATATAGTACCTTTTCCCCACCCATTTTCTCTTTCTAATAATCTTAAGGAGCTACAGCTAGCATTATTGTCACTCAAAAGATCTGCTGTCCCTACTAAGGCAATGTTTACACTTCAGCTGACAACATGGCATCAAATGAGAGCAGACATGTAACTCCTAAAGCTTTTTTGTGGGCAGTTCCTTTAAACTGAGATGATTTATTTGGATCTATGACCAAAGGAATACACTAGCTCTCCTAATCCACATTCTGATAGGAGGCCATTTGGTGCTACCTACTCTGCAGATATAAATGACTCATTATTGCTCTGTGAAGGGAAAAAAAAAGTTGTGATTGCAGCTAAGTCAAAGACACATCAAGGATGTGATGCATCTTAACTTACACCAATTCAATTTGTAATCGAATATTTAGAATACTACTCTGGCAGACTAAACCAAATGTTCCTTTAACCAAAATTCTCATCCAAAAGCAATCTCTGAGAAACCTGAAAAACAAAGGGTGTTGTTTCTAAAGACCTCAGTATACTGGATGGACCCTCACATGCTATGCCATCCAGGAGGCAGGATGGACTCACCTGTTAGGACAGAAGCTATCTGATAAACTGAAAAAATCACTTTAGAAACTACAAAAAAAAAAAAAGTCTGAAGCAGAGAAAGACACCTCACCCAGTAAGTATCAAACATCACCTTTATAGAAAGCAGCAAGAGGAGCTTGAAGGCATCTTATGGCTTTATATTTTCACTCCAGTTCCCTTGCTTTTGCAAAAACAAAGTCAGTACACAGCTAATTAAGTCTGCAATAAGGATGGTGTTGGACTAAGTGATCTCCTGAAGGAGGTCCAACACAAACTAACTCTTTTTCACTAAGATTCCTTTATTCATATGATGGCAACACTGCTCATTTCCAAGGTGAAGAAGCTGGAAAGCCATCATCAAGGAGACAAGCCAAAAGCCAACCACTCTGTTTTGAAAATTAAAATGGCAAATCCCTATGCTCCAGCAAATTCATCACTCCCTTTCTAAAGGGAGATGTACCCATGGACAAGACGTGAGGGAGGAAGGTTTTCTGGTGTGATGGATTATTTTGTTTTAGGGGTGGAGTTTTTGTTTGTATTTTAAATCAATGTATTTAAACTTAGGAATCAGAAAAGGTAGAGACTTGGCAAAGAGATGGAAACTAGCATTTGATCTTACAAAAAAAGAAAAAGCATTGCCTCAGGGGGGCAATTGCATGTGGTTTTAGGTTGAAATTGTCAGACTTAGTTTTGACTTTATGTGATTTGGCTGAGGTGTCTGTGGGCTCAATAAAGGAGGGCATATTTCTTGTGGATATCTTCACTAAAGATAGGAGTCTAAACCTGTGGCTTTAACCTAATGTTCATACTCTGCTCTGTTACAGCATTCAACTAAAACTAGAAGTTGTGTCAGCAAATGAGAGCAGATATTAATCTTGATGAGGGTCTCTCTCCAGATGGAACAAATGCAGAAAGGGGCTCTTAAATTCTGGTTGTGTACCAAACAAACACCTTGGCCTATGCTGGGATTTGTAAAATGCTTTAGTTCTACTGTACAATGATTTCCTAACAAAATTCTAGAAGAGGCCTACAATAAATGATGTAAAGCCTAGGTTTTATTTTGACATGGTGAATCAATCTGCTTTCTAGCAAGCCATGTCAAAAATAACCCATGAAAGAAAATTACAATAGGTACCTTTACAAGTCAAAGATACTTAGCTGAAGTACTTATTTAAATATAGAACATATATATTTGAGTCAAAATTGCCAGCTAATGAAGATTTTTTCTTATTATAGCCATGAATAAATTGGTCACCTCAGAAGAATGAAATTACATCTCAGGAGATGTTACACTGCTCAGCTCTGCACTTGCAAATGTGTTTCCTAACTCTGAAATATATCTAATGCAATTCTTCATGTTGTGGCACCAGACAGCCTGGATCTGTAAAGGTGGTCATGGTATTCTTATTTCCAGGTGAAATATCTGTGATACCATGAACACATCATATAAAATATAGCTTATCAACAAAAAGGGACAGTTCACAAGAAACTAAACCCACTCCACATTAACAGATGGCAAAGCATTTTAAAAATACCACTATTATGGCTCAAACAAGCTTCTCATTTACAATGTATAAAAAATAGCCTTTTATAATAAAATTGCACACAAAAAAGTTAATATATTAAAAAGTATATAGTTGTCCAGCCATGACAACATGGCTCTTCAAAGCCCTTTATGCCTAGCAGATTCCTTGATGCAAACAAGGACAGCATTCTCAGGTATGTGTGTATGTGTAGCATTGCAGCCATTTGGGTTTTTTAATTGTTTTTTTCACATTATGAGATGGACACATCGATATATCAAACTAATTTCAAATGTGGCAACACCTGGGAATTTCTTCAAAATTCATAAATTAATTTTCTTCATCTTTCCAAGCCCTACTTTCATACCTGAACTGAGATGTTGCCTTCCTTATTCCCAAAAAGCCCTAGTGCTTCTGCTCTTGATTCAACCCCCAAAAAGTTCAAGTGATAGAAGCAATTTGTTTTACTTCTACTAATTCACAGATTTATAGTAGAATTACAAGTGTTCAAGAAAATAACATTTCAGTTGCAAACTGTACAGTGGCTAGGAAAGTCAAAACCAGCAGATGTCTACAATGGAATAATTTGCATTGGAAAAGGTTTCCAGAAAGATCAAAGAACAGAAAGCCAGAACTTACCTAATTTACAGCTGTTGACAGTAAGAATTTACTTTCTTACTAGTTCATCAGCATAAAATGTAATTGGTATCCCTTCATCCATCTTAACCCTTTTTCTTGTCATTCTTTCCAAATAGCGAGTTTGGGTTAGGTTTAGATTTAGCAGTTAGGTTTTCTTTCTTTAAAATAGCTTTTATTGCAATCATTCAAATGAAATTGACTTAGGAAGCTTTATGGATTGCTTCTATTAAAACTTGCTAAACATTAGATTATTTTAGAAGGCAAACAGATCCAGAAAATGTCAACACTGACAGGACTGATATACAGAAAACATGTGACATTGGAGAAGAAATGACACATTCCAAAGGCAGCTAAATTACTCTGTATTTGAAGATGACCTTGAAATTTCCACTAACCCCTTTTTTCCATAAAGAGGCAAAAATAATTTTATCAGTAGCACTAGCCAAATTTGTGAAATATAACTTCCAGTCATACATACCATAGTTCAGTTACAACATTTGGCAAGCAGAAGATACATCTTATCAACAAAGGATCCTTCATATACAAAATGACTACTTGACAGGCTCCTCTATTTCAATAAACAAACACACAAGGAATAGGAAATCAGATGGACCTGGAATGCTGCATATTCCCAAGCACTCAGAACTAATGATCTGCATAATGGAAGTTCATAAATGACCAGCATTTTGATATGCCTCCTATTCTTACTCCCCATTTATGGCAACACATGCTAATCACTGCAACACACTGCAAGACTAAAACAAAAAAAGTAAAACAATATCAGATATATCTCAATAAACCCAAATAATTTAGATTCACACCTATCAGAAGACACAATCTAGCTTTTGCTGCAATTTTACTGTTTTGCTAGCTTGTGAAGTAAACGGCTCCTGTGAAATATAATTTCCAAATTATTTAATGACAATTAGAAAAGCAGACAGCTATGAAAAAAACAACATTTTCAAATGAACTGATTGAAAAAGTATCTCAAACCTCAAGTATACTGCATGAGTGAGCAGTTCCTTATTCACAGGTGCATTATAAAGCAAAATGGAAGGATGCAAGTGGCAATCATCAGGTATCCTCTACAAAAGTAATTTCCTTATTTCACCATCTTTCTTCCTTAATGCAAGTTTCCTGCACTGTTCTTTTGTTCAGACAGGGAACACCTTCTCAAACAGCGTGCTAACGCAGCCTGTGCAATCTCTCCTTGGTGTTTTCAATGACTCAATGTGGGGGAATTTCCCGGCTCCGTCCCCCAGTGCCCAGGCCGCTCCACCTGCCCTGCTCCGAGCG